AAAATTCGTGCAAAGGAAAATGCCTGGAAAAAAATTTGTGCAGCCATTACGTCAGAGAAAAAAAATTCGTGCAAGCAAACAGCGAAGTAGAAATAGTCTTGAAAAAAAATTCGTGCAGAGGTTAAATGCATTAAAAAAAATTCCTGCAGAGACACGAGACTGAAAAAAAAATTCGTGCCGCAAAAATTTTATACCCCCCCTCCCGGGATTTCTAATGGTCCGCCCCTTATGTATAGGATAAACACCGACAAGGATGGATTTATGTCAGATAATGTACAATGTATGTAACTGGGTTAAAAAGCAATTAATTAAAACGATGTGGGCTAATAAAAATTAATTAACCATTGTTAAGGCCTGATTCTGCGGGCGCTTTTTTCGGTGAAATGCAAAATTTTTCGCTGGAAATGAATTAGGTACATGCGCAGTAAAGCTAGATACATTAGGCTTCACGAGAAAAAATTTCGCTTACCAGTTAGTATAGAAGTCATCAGTTGGCTACTCACTGTGAAAGCGGGAAAAGTCGGGAAAATGCAATGGAATCGCTCATGTGCAACCATTAGTATTTTGCAGACACAATTTAATTCGCCGTCGTAGAATCAGGCCTTTAGAGATGTATGGTATTTGTAAGCATAGCCATTCAGCGTCGTGGTTAGGGCGAATCTTGGGGTGGTTTTGGTTTTGGGGCTAGGGCTAGGTTTGATCATTCGTTGCGGGTGATCCATTGACACGAAGAATTTCATCAAAGTCTTTGTTGTGTGTGTCTTTGGTATGTGTTGAGCTACTTCTTTCATTGATTCGGTTTCCTTCGTTTCTGATCATAGCAGATTTGGCTTGGTTGGGTATCGCGGACTTGTAGTTGGTAAAGAAAGGTTTCTCTGGTTACTGATTGTAACGAGAAGTCGATTCTAACCGAGAAGTGATTGTAACCTCGAGAAGTCGAATCACTATCTCTGATGATGTCGTTGACGACGAAAGCTTAGATATCAAATAGATAATCAAGACCTTTTCTAAAGTGTTTTAAAAGTCTATTTCCCACAGCCGCAGCTTTGCCTTTGACCTCATTCGAACCAACCCCAAACACATTTATTTCAATATGCTGCTGAAGAACAATTTTAATTTATACGCTTGAGCATCTTATGAATTATAACTAACATGCATATTATACTTATACTAACTTACTAACTCTTTACGCTATTGTGCGCAGTTAATTTGAGCCATGCATGCATTATCGAGATAATTTTCGGCTAATAATTAAGAATTAGGTAAGTATATATAATTTTACTCACCGAAATTTTGAATTTTAACACGCTGTCGCTGTTTTCTTGTTCTTGATAATTAATAAGTACTATTTAAAACACGCCTATGAGTGTTTTATCATATTTAAAATGCCAGTTCGCAGCACGAGCATTTATGACCACAGCGGCCCAATCTCAGAATGAATGATCAGGTGTTGCGGGTTTTTAACGGTTTTTATAAACAAATTTACAGTCAACCAAAACTATTTTAAAAACATTCTTAAATTAGTCAAATAAATACATTTTAACAATAAAATATAGTTGACATGATAGTATAAAATTTTTGCATTCTTTTAATTACTCCATGAGCTCATTTAGAGCGGTTGATGTAACATTTCCTGTGGCTTACATTGTGTGTGCTCATCTATATATAATATTTAAACAGTCAAAGGCTAATCACTGGCGGCACGACCGCATCGCCTTCAAAGTCAAATATCTCCGCTCAAATTTGTCGTACGCCAACTGAACAAATTCGATTACATCTTTTCACAATTTCTCTTTCTAAGGGAGTGGTCATTATTTATGGGGAGGGGGAGTTGGGAAACGGGGGGGAGGGCAAACGAAGTTTTACCCTTATAAATAGGGGGGATTAAAAAAGTTTTAACACAGAGAAAGGGGGGGGGGTCATAAAAGTTTTTGAACTTAAACTACCATGTCTAGAGTTCTGATTTCTATAATCACAAATAGCAAAAAAGAAGACTCTGAAAATGCTATTTCCAACGATCTCGAGACTCAAAATTTTCAAAATTTCCCTGCTCGGCGCCAACCATGGTAGCGCCTCGCGGTCGTGGGAGTCGGGCCCACTAAGTTGAACAAGCTTTCTACTCCCTGAGTGACCCAGTTGTGGTATTTACATAAACATACCATGCAAGTACACTTAACTGATCAGATTCGGTCTATCAACGCACAATGTAACGCTGTATATCCAAAAATCTGTTTCGGACTAAATGCTCACATTTCAGTTCTAGGGGTGGAAAAATACAAATAATTTTCTGGGGGAGAATACCCCCAGACCCCCCTACTAGTACATACGATATACCACACCAAACTTTTTGTCACTAACAACCATCTGTCATCTCTACACACTCAATATATTATGGTCCCTTTTTGTAGATGCCCCCCCCCCCCAGACAAGTTCTTAAAAAACCCTGTGTTCAATTAATTTCGCTGTATGAAGACGGGTCATGGGTTAGGGTTATGGTAGGACAAATGTTGCATTGCAAAGTAGTAACACATTATATATATTTTTTAATCATATATGGTTGAATCATATTCACCAGGGTAAAACATCATGAGCTAGATTAAACAGATTGTCCTAATATCTAACTTTACCTGCAACGCACACCTGTTTCATTGCTGTTAATTTTTCAATCCACACTGGGGTGGGGGGGGGGTCAGAAAAGTTTCTACTTTTATGAGGGGGGAGGCACAAAAAGTTTGCCTTCAGTCTGGAGGGGGGGGTCAAAAAAGTTTTCAATCCTTATTTTCCCCATTTCCCAACCCCCCCTCCCCATAAATAATGACCACTCCCTAAATAATATGGTTTGATCATAGTTTGGGCGAATTTAGCGACGAACGGAACCAAAATCTCCACAATTTCGGATACTGTTCAAAATGCTTAGGGAGTGGTCATTATTTATGGGGAGGGGGTGGGTGTTGGGAAATAGGGAAAATAAGGATTGAAAACTTTTTTGACCCCCCCTCCAGACTGAAGGCAAACATTTTGTGCCTCCCCCCTCATAAAAGTAGAAACTTTTCTGACCCCCCCCCCCAGTGTGGATAATCATATATGGTTGAATCATGTATGGTTGAATCTAGATTAAACAGATTGTCCTAATATCTAACTTTACCTGCAACGCACACCTGTTTCATTGCTGTTAATTTTTCAAAATTAACAGCAATGAAGCAGGTGTGCGTTGCAGGTAAAGTTAGATATTAGGACAATCTGTTTAATCTAGCTCATGATGTTTTACCCTGGTGAATATGATTCAACCATATATGATTAAAAAATATATATTATGTGTTACTACTTTGCAATGCAACATTTGTCCTACCATAATCCTAAACCATGACCCGTCTTCATACAGGGAAATGATTTGAACACAGGGTTTTTTTTAAGACCTTGTCTGGGGGTGGGCATCTGCAAAAATGGACCATAATATATTGAGTGTGTAGAGACGACAGATGGTTGTTGGTGACAAAAAGTTTGGTGTGGTATCGTATGTAGTAGTAAGGGGGTCTGGGGGTATTCTCCCCCAGAAAATATTTTGTATTTTTCCACCCCTAGAACTGAAATGTGAGCATTTTCTGAAACAGATTTTTGGATATACAGCGTTACATTGTGCGTTGATAGACCGAATCTGATCAGTTAAGTGTACTTGCATGGTATGTTTATGTAAATACCACAACTGGGTCACTCAGGGGGTAGAAAGCTTGTTAAACTTAGTGGGCCCGACTCCCACGATCGCGAGGCGGTACCATGGTTGGCGCCAAGCAGGGAAATTTTGAAAATTTTGAGTCTCTAGATCGTTGGAAATAGCATTTTCAGAGTCTTCTTTTTTACTATTTGTGATTATAGAAATCAGAACTCTAGACAAGCTAGACATGGTATTTAAGTTAAAAAACTTTTATGACCCCCCCTTTCTCTGTGTTAAAACTTTTTTGACCCCCCTATTTATAAGGGTAAAACTTCGTTTGCCCCCCCTCTCATTTCCCAACCTCCCCCCTCTCCCCATAAATAATGACCACTCCCTTAGGGCTGCTCGGGCACGATCGTGGACGTGACGTAACAATACATACTGACAATAACGCCTTAGCCGGGGTGGGACAGCATATCAAATCCGACTATAGTTTGTCGCTTGATGCTGTCCCACCCCACGTAAGGCGGTAAGGCGTTATTGTGAGTATGTATTGATTACGTCTCGTCCACGATCGTGCCCGAGCAGCCCTAAGTATTTTGAACAGTATCCGAAATTGTGGAGATTTTGGTTCCGTTCGTCGCTAAATTTGCCTAAACTATGATCAAACCATATTATTTAGAAAGAGAAATCTTTGTGAAAAGATGTAATCGAATTTGTTTTTGGGCGTACGACAAATTTGAGCGGAGATATTTGACTTTGAAGGCGATGCGGTCGTGCTGCCAGTGATTAGCCTTTGACTGTTTAAATATTATATATAGATGAGCACACACAATGTAGGCCACAGAAAATGTTACATCAACCGCTCTAAATGAGCTCATGGAGTAATTAAAAGAATGCAAAGGTATTACTATCATGTCAACTATATTTTATTGTTAAAATGTATTTATTTGTCTAAAATATTTAAGAATGTTTTTAAAATAGTTTTGGTTGACTATAAATTTGTTTATAAAAACCGTTAAAAACCCGCAACACCTGATCATTCATTCTGAGATTGGGGCTGTGGTCACATATGGGCTGTTGGGCTGTTTGGATTTTTTAATTACCCGCTACACAGCAGAGGCTACACAGCTAAAAACGGACAGGTTGTTGCAAGTTGGTATCGACAGGCGTGAACAATGTTGTGCGCAGGGGCGGCGGAACATATTTTATTTTGGGGGGGTAAAATTTTTTGGGGAGATTAAAATTTTCTCCCCCGCCCCGTCGCCACTTTTTTTTCGGACATACACCAAAATGTTTCCGGACACATACAAAAAAGGCGCTGATAAAAATTTTTCCGGACCTATAACAAAAAAATTTTCCGGGCATACACATTTTTTAAACAAAATATTGCAAATTTTCCCCCTTATACCTAAATTTTCCAAAAATACCCTAAATTTTTTCTTAATTATCAAAAATTTTCCCGAAAAAACAAAATTTCCTGGGGGGCTAAGCCCCCCCCCCCACTTTTACTTCTGGGGGGGAGGGGCTTTAGCCCCCCCCCTGTTCCGCCGCCACTGGTTGTGCGGCCAACTTGCAACAAGTTGTTGATTTTCTCAATTTTTACGCGTGTACGACCACTGAGCCACAGATGATAGATTATACCAGATGTCTCACTCAGTCAAAATTGTGTCCGCGATTTTTTATGAGCACGCGTTGGCCGCCATTTTGGCAGTAAGTGTAATCTAGAGGTGTGCATCGGATCGGATTGGACGTGTATAATCCGAAATTTGGCTAATGTTTAAAATCCGATCCGATCCGAAATTGTCTAATCCGAATCCGATCCAATCCGAGTTGTAATAAAGTTTTCCAATCCGATCCGATCCGATCCGAAGAATTATTTTAACCAAATCAATAGAAATACAAGAAATACATGTCAAGAAGCTGACAAAGTGACGTCCAATTGAAGTATCAAACGAAAAATGCTGCGACAACCGCGATAATGCTTTGATAAATGCTTTGATAAATGCATGGATAATTAATTCTTGCAATAATACGTGGATAATTAATTCATTTTATTTCGAATATCGAAGTCCGATCCGATCCGACTGCGAAACAACTTTATCAATCCGATCCGATCCGAAATGTATATTTTTGTTTCGAAATCCGAACGAATCCGATCGGATTCGGATCGGATTTGCACACCTCTAGTGTAATCCAGTCATGAAACGTGAGCAATCACGCATTTTGGCAGTAAGCGTCATTTTGGCAGTAAGTGTCGCACGCGTCATCTGGCGTGATAGCCTCGCGAAAATCGCGGACACGAAAATCATAGGGTAGATACGGTAGATAGTAGATACACAGTGAGACATCTGGTATGGTACAATGTAGATGTACAATATATGACATATATAGATGTACAATAGAGTGGGTCTCCACAAAGAGAGACTTGGAGCCAGTGCCGGATTAACCATATGGCAGAAGCGGCATATGCCACGGGCCCCGCGCTTTTGGGGGCCCCGCGCTTACTCTCTTCTATTTTTTCCGAATTTTTTTGTTCCATGTTTCAGTGCGAGACCCAAACACTGCGCCAGTGCGGGGCCCTATAAAGAGCCCAAGTCCCCCAGAAAACGCGAGGGCCCCAAAATTTAAAAAGCGAGGCCCCATCAAGCTGGGCCCAAACGTTTTTTTTCTTCCCTGTTTCAGTGTCAGCGCGGGGCCACAAAGAGCCCAAGGTCCTCAGAAAACGTCAGGCCCCAAAATTTAAAAATCGAGGTCCCAAATAGCCGGGCCCGAAACGGGTTTTTTGTTTCCTGTTTCAGCGCAGGATCCAAACAGCGTGGGGCCCCAAAGAGTACAAGGCCCCTAAAAGCGAGGCCCCCAAATAAAAAAACACGAAGCCCCAAGGTTTAAAAAGCGAGGCTCCAAAAGCAGGGACGCAAACAATTTTTTTTGTTCCTTTTCTGGGCAAGGGGCTCCAAAGAGCGAGACCAAAAAAATCATAGGGGTCAGAAAATACCAAAATTTGCAGTAAACTGTTAAATACTAAAAGGTTGCTGAATTTTGTGGAAGGCGGCAGAATCTAGCTATTTAGCATGTTTAGCTATTTTTCCCCTGTAAGTAATAATAATGCTAATGGTATGAACTGGGTTGAAATTCAGTTCGATCAAATTATTGATGTATAATTATTTTTGTTTGTAAATACACAGGAAACTTTTTAACGCATGAAACACAAGAGGGTATTTTTTAATCTTACTGATTTCAGTGTCGTTGGAAGGTTGGGGGTGGGGGGTCGAGGGGCCCCGCGCTGATAATATGCCACGGGCCCCGCGGAACGTTAATCCGGCCCTGCTTGGAGCAAGTCTAGTATGATCTATAATCTATGACTGAGCAAGACTGAGCTATATAGCTCAGTGGCTACGACTCGATCAACTCGATAAAGCAGTCTGGGGAAGAGTTACGTTGTTGTCATGGAAACAACAATAAATCAATCTTCAGCACAAGAAAAACAACTGAAATGGTGTCTGTTTTAAACAGCGAATATTGGTAGATACATCGATATTTAGGTACGTTTTAGCTTTAAGTTTCCAACATTGTTATGAATTAACTTGCACGATTTTTAATATTATTCGATCCGTTAGTTTACAAACATAGTTTTATGGCCGAATTGGCGAATTCATGGCCCAAAAAATTGCAAAAATCGAGTTGAAAAATGTACCATGAATTTCATGCCGATCATGCAATTTGAATGCATATATATTTTATCCACGATTTCTTTATTTCTTCCAGAATTATGGTCAGTGAGGAAAGAGTACCCGCAGATGTAAGTTAGTAAAGCTGGACGTAAATAATTTATTGTTTATATTCAAGCACAGCATGTATTTTCTGAAGTTCATTGAAATTAATTCGGCACTTCAAAATGGCAGAGAAAATGCCGATTTAGCTCCTACAAGTTGAGTTTTACTGCGTAAATCAAGCATACAACCCACCCACGACAACGTAGGTGAATTGTATGTTTGATTTACACCAACGGTTTTCAACTGGTTTTCTCATGTGTCCCCGATTTCGCATGATTGAATTACCACGTCCCCTGAACAGAAATTGCATGCCCACTGAAGTCTATCAAAAACACAAATTTCGAAATAGTTAGTAAAATAGTAAATGATTTAAATTTTAAATAATAGATAGAAAGTCAAGCAAACATGTTTATAGTACAAACTATTGTATTCAACTATTGTATTCAACTATTGTTTTCTCAGTCCTAGACCAGTTTGTGTCCCCTAGGAATTTGCCAAATGTCCCCTCTCGGGGACATGTCCCCCAAGTTGAAAACCGTTGATTTACACAATGGGACTCAAGTTGTAAGCAGGTTGCATGCGACAGTTTTAGGCAAAAGTTGTGTAGTACTGTATAGTGTTAAAATCGGCCTAAAATGTCAGTTTAAAATTGAAAATATATATCGCTTGTTAAATGATAGCACCTCAAATTAATGAAAACTATAAATGACATAATAGCTAAATAGCAGTGGGAGATTGGATGTTGTGCTGTTTTGTTGCAATTTTAAATGAGAATTATGACAAAAAGAGTGAAGATTTAATTTCCAAGAATATAGTTTTTCACTCATTGTGAGGCCTAAGAAAAATACCTGTGGTTCCGGTTTCATATCGTGAAAAAATTAGGGTCGGTAGGTCGGAAATTTTTTTTTCGAAATATTTTTTTCACGGTTTTGGCGTTTTTTTTGCTGGGCAATTTCTAGTAGAGTTCCGACATCAATATTAACTAGAGATGCGTATTTCCCATGGACGAATTTAGGCAATTTGGCTCAATAATTATTGTGACAACAGACGCCATTTTGGCATGCTGTATGAGCAGCCCGCAACCACCCAGTAAATCACATTGAAAAAATAATAGGGTCGGCAGAAAATAATAGGGTCGGTCGGGAACCGGAAGCACAGGTATTTTTTTAGGCCTGAGGGGATTAATAATTCCCAAATGGGTAATCCAAGACAATGCGAAAGTTGATGTTAAATATGTAAAGGTAGCAATTCTCTCCTCAATTATTTTAAGACCTAGCTTGAGCAGAAGTCCGACCGAGGATAATGAACTTGGTCTCCCAGCTTGAAAGGCAAGAATGGCAACCACAACGCCACAAGTGCTGGTTGTACTGGTGTCCCATTAGTAGGGATGCACCGGAACTGGTTTTTTAAGTTCCGGCCGGAACCGGATCCGACCGGAACTGGAAAAAAGTTCCGGCCGGAAGTTCTGGCCGGAACCGGAACTAATTTATTAAGCCATATATAGTCATATGTTACTTTGTCCGCTGCCAGACAAGCAGACACTTCAAATCATCAAGTAGAGAGTTCGCAAATGTCAGAATAAAAAGACTGACAAACGTTAAACGTCATAATGAAGTGTTAATAGTGTACATTTCCCTTGCGTAGTCCAACTTTCTTCCTACTGTGACCTTTTGTTAGACACAAAAAGTTTTATATTCTATCTCCCTGAAAACGACAGAGTTCCGGTTCCGGCCATGCTTTTTTTACTATAGTTCCGGCCGGAACCGGAACTCTAAAAAATCGGGGTTCCGGCCGGAACTAACCGGCCGGAACCGAGTTCCGGTGCACCCCTACCCATTAGCAGTTGTGAAAACAGCTAGCTAATGTAAGTATATATGGATACATGATCATGATCATGGTAATTTCAATTGTATTTTGCAGCAAGCGTCAGTGAGTATCAAGCATATTGAGGACAGGATAAGAAATGCTGTGAATGCAAAGAAAGTTAGATGTACCGAATATTTCAAGGATTATGACAGATTGAGAACAGGATATATTACAAGTAAGCTGACAGCTTCATATTGTACTAGTTAGGGGAGGGGCATAGATGGTTGTGAGAATGTCAGCACCGATCCTACCTGCACTGGGTTGAAATTTTAATTCTTTAGTTGCCTATAAGTGCATGGATACCAGTGAATAAGTCTGCGAGATTGCCAAATTTAATATCATGTCTTCCGATATCACACTCACTCTGGAGCCCCTGTCACCATGAGGGCTACCTTTGCATTGTATTGGATTTTTATTTCACATCCCTTAATTAAAAGGCTTTTCAGCAAAATTTTACATGAGTGATCTAAACACCATAATAATAGAGACATACACATAACAACACACTGTCACACCCACACACATGGTCGTACTACACAAATATAATATATGCTATTCACCTCAAGATTTTTTAAGATTGGTCCTAAATGTTTCTACAAGTCTCTGTTTTAAAATATTTTTGAAGTCTTTTGTTGTTTCGCAGGCCCTTATAGCTTTTGGCTAATATTTGGAACTTTAAAAATGCGACCTGGCGCCTGCTCATTTCAACCCAGTGATTGCGAAAGTCAGCATATTAATTATTTCAGTCTGCTGTTTGCTAATAATTACTAATACTTCATTCAGGGGTGCATGTTCAACAAATTGCTGGGGGGGGGTGCAATATGGGACCGATGTTCTGGTTCTCTACAATTAACAGACAAATTCTGTTGCATGTGGATTAAATACCGCTTATGGCAAAAAATCGGGACCAACGTTTGATACAGATGTCTCAAAGAAAGTTGGGACCAACTTTTTGTGATTTTTGAATGCTGGGGGGGGGGGGGGCTCCCCTCTAATGTGCACCTCTGAAACAATGCATAAAAAATATATTTATCAGACCTACCCGCCCTAATTGTTTCAGTATGTGAAACTAGAACCATGGGATATATTTCAGTTTAATTAAAATTGAAAACTTTGTTTGTATAATTTGTATATCATTGGGAAGATGGTCTGAATGGCAAAATATGTATTTGAGGTACCACTTTCCATGTGATTATAGTAATTCCTCGCTCAATAATTATTTCTTTTATTGTACAGGTGCCCAATTTGAAAGATGTCTTGACCAGTTATTCTCTGTGCAATTGAGTCAGCCTGAAACTCAAGTTTTGTTGTCCAAATATGGCAATAATCCACAGCAAAGAGGAATGGTGTGTTATCGGGATTTCTGTGCCGCTATTGATGCAAGTGAGTCCAGCAGTGTTGCAACTATCATAAATTATTTGTTTTGCAAATAATGAGGCTTCATTAGCACAATCATCAGAGCAAATGCCTTTCACTTCTGAGATTGTGGGGTCACTTCAAAGTCGTCGGTTTTCTTCTGGTAATCTGGTTTCCTTAATTCCACCGGGAATTAAAACAGAGTGGGTTGGGATTAGCGCCAACCAGTAACCAACCCTCCTACCACAGCTCATGTCCTCTGTGATCATGCAGACATTGAGTCTTAATTAAGGTGGATGACAAAGGCACCCTTAGAAAGCTAATAAATTAGAAATAATTTATTGATCGGGTTGAGCTGCATACTTCGCAATTCAGCTTAGTTTTCTGCTGCAAGTAAGGATGATTTAGCATGCACACTCTTACTTTACTTTACTTTACTTTGCTTTGCTTTGCTCACTTTACGTAGCCTGGGCGGGGGCCCACCCCCCCTGGTAAAATTTTGGCCCCCCCTTGAGAAAATAAATTCTATAAAAATAAGTGAAGCCTGGCCCCATCTAGGTTTTTGTTGGTCAGGACCAAAAATCCTGGCTACGCCTCTGTGTAGTCTTGTGTCTGTACATATCTTTTCTGCCTTTCCTTTTAAAACGTGTTCTGTCGCACATTAATTAAT